GTCATCATAGACCTTCTCTCGCCTCATGCCGTAGGTGTTGGTCTCAAAGTCCTCGAAAGACAAGACACCAGTTCCAGAGGTGTGAATGAGATAGGTCTTCTTTCCGCTGCGTGTGAGGCCAGCAACCAACGCATTGGCGGAAGCCACGTGGTCGCAGTCGGCGCAATGGAGGACGATGTCTGCATTGGACGCCTCGGTAGTGAGTAACTCGGTGTCATCAAGGGTTCCGTACACAAGACGGGTCTTTGGGAACTGCACTGCGACTTTGGCGCCTTTGTCACTGTTGCGAACGAGTGCGGTGATCTCTAGATCCGGATAGGTGTTTGCAACTGCGTAGAGGGCATCGCCTCCGATATAGCCAGTGGCGCCGGTGCTGAATCTAGTTAGTACTCAAATATCTGGGAAAGAATGCATTCATATGTCATTCATGTTCCGTGCGTCCAGTGTGAGCACGCATGCGAACTTACATGAAAAGCTTCGGCATGATTAGAGTGTCGATGAGATGAGAGGAGATTCGTAAAAGACCAGAACACAGTCGGTGCTGGTGTGATATATGCAAAAGTTGTCAGGCTTCTGTCGCTTTGAAATCGTGTTTGCCTACAGCTCCACCTGGGCACAACTAGCAGGAACGTACGTCACAGATATGTACCAGTAGCGCGAACGTCCAATCGGTGACCACAATGCTGCATTGCTTACCTACCTAGGTAATTTCTATGAGCCTGCAACCTCATCTCACTGCATTTACAACATTACACACCCTCTTTCATGCTTCCTCATCATATTGATTGCGACTTGGACGTGGACAGTCCTATGGTCTTGATCCACATGTCTGGTGAGACGCCCCGCAGTGGCGCACCTTCCCCAAGAGCTTATCCGCTACAAGCACTCGGAACTTTGTGTCCGATGAGATGGTGCAGACATACTGGATATACCATAAGTGCACGAGAGGCGTGAGCTTGGTTAATGGATGCTGCTCCGAGGAGCTCATACCACAGCTCCTCACAATTGAGCCTCGGTAAAGTATAGTCAACTTACGTCATCCACCTAACACTACGAACATCTATACTGCGTCTTGTCCATCGTCTGAGCATTATATTCGCGAAACGAGTAAACATCTTATCTCTTCAATTCCGCTTCCAAGATGCCGCTCTGCACACTCCATCTCGTCGCCCTCCACAGCACCACCCCCAACCCCATCTTAACCTTCCTGTCCACCTTAAAGTCCGCCAACATCTCACCACTCGTCATCTCACGCGTAATCCGCTGGATAATCCTCCCATCAAAGCTCTCAACCGAACACCTCCTCGCCCGAAACATCCACTGGGATCTTCTCCTCATCCTGCCCAGCACCGACGCGCTCCCATCCTCGCTCTCGAACCTAGTCCAAAACCACTGGAGCGTAACAGCCGGAGTCCCCTCCCGCCTGATCCAAGACTTTGCATCGAAGAACCAGAAGCTACTGCATCCAGACCCTAGCTCCGTGCCCAAGGTCCAAGAGCAGAAGAGCAACAAAACCACCGAGTCAAGCCAAAGCCTCGAACTAAGCGATGAGCTGAATAAATGGATCCAGACTTTTGTCAATAGCGGTGCTAAAGAGGGCAAAGGCGCGGTATCCATGTTCAACCTCCTCGCCTTCAACCCAGGGATGAAGGAAGAATACCTGAAATACGGTGCCGCATTCGCCAAATCAATCGGCTCTAAGCACGGCGGGAACGCAAAGATCGTGGGGAACGCAACACATGTCAACGGCTCGGCGATCACCAAGGCATCAGACAGTAGTGTTGGCGCGAACGGTGAGGTGGGCGGTGGGAACGATGATTGGGATGAGATCGCGCTGGCACATTATCCCAGTATCTTGCACTTTAGGGATATGTTGGCGAGTGAGGATTATCAGGAGGTTAATCACAGGCATCGAGTGCCCAGTTTGAGGGATACGTGTATTCTTATGACGAGTGAGATTGCGGTTGAGGAGTTGATGGGGCAGGGTAAAGGTGGAGCGAAGCTTTAGGACTTGGTGAAGCTGCGTAAAAAATCGTATATGTAGCAGACTCACTCAGGTGTGAGGGTAGAGTCAGAACACGAATTCTGGTTTGTGTCGATGCTATCTGATCTTGCGACTGCTAAGCTCCGCACAAGGCCGTACCGTGATACAGCTTCTCGAAGCTCGTACAAGCATATCGTGTGTCTTACTTGGGTTGCTCAACGTGGAGCTCATGCCGTACTCAGTGTAGCGCCCAGATATTCGCACTCATAACGTCTGATGCTCTCGCATCAGACTCGGAATATTACCAGAGCAGCGACCCGGTGTGTCGTAAAGTCCGAATCGACATCATTGATAAAAACGCCGCAGCGATCAATTCAACCACGCCAAGATCCCCTCAAGCATCCACATCAACAAACAACTCCCGAAACGCCAACCGTCCAATTCCCTCTCCCGGATGTCCCACCTTCTCCTTCCCACCCCTCCCCCTGCATTTACCCCATCCACCTCTCGCACTACCAACATCAGGCAACACCCAATTCTTCTTGTCCTGCTCCGCGACCCACTGCTCGCACAACGCCTCCGCCAGCTCGAGCTTGCGTTCCCAAACTCCTTCATCTTCGCCTTTCACTTTGAGCAAAGCAGGTGCTGTGCTCCTGTCCAAGAACGAGGAATCCATGACTTCGGATGCGAAGCGTCGGCGCTGGAGGAGGCATTCTTCAGCACGGTTGTGTCGCTTACAACGTGAGCATGAGGGGTAGGTTCTTGAGCAGGGGAGGCCGGCGAGGGTGCATTGGAGACAAGAGGTTATCCAGACTGGTCGCGGCTCGTTCGGGTCGGGTGTTGGAAGAGTACGTTGAGGGTCGAGATCCCATACAGTTGTGAGGTCGTCTGTATCTGTGTGCGAGGCTGATTCATGGGGGTCTAGCCTGGCTGATGGCTTGCTAGGTCGAAGAGCAAAGGCTGGTGGTACAAGCCGTTCAAGTGTGCGCTCTTTGCCCTGTGTTGGCGCCCAGTCACGGCTATCGATACTGGTCGTGTCGGAATCATCGTCTCGTATCTCGAACCTTGGGGTCGGGCTACCGAACAGATTCTTGCGGAGTGGTTTGTCGAAGATGCTCTGCCCGGAGAAGGACGTGTCGGTTGGCGATATCTCATCTTGCGGTACAGAGCGGTAGTCCGATCGCCGAGGTGGTGTAGTTGGTCCATGATCTCCCTCCTGATGGGTATAAGTGGCGCACTCGCTTTCATCGATCTCGGCGCTCTTAATGTTCAACTTGTCAAGCCATCCCTCGATGCGATCAGGGTGTTCGACCTCCTTCTCCAGCATCTTCAACGAAACAGGCATGTCGAAGAAGCCCACGCCGATTGGAGTAGATCTTGAAGAGTTGATGATGGTCAGAGTTAAAGAGTAGTGAAGGTGACGAGGTCGAGAGGATACGGTGAAATTGTTTCACGGTGAAGTCGACCACGCTAGTCCGGACGCGTCGAGGAACTGGACCATGGATACCGCATGCTCATAGAATGCGGGGTAACGAAAGCGGAGATGTAATCAGACATCGTATGGCGAGAGGCAGCTTGTAAGTTCATGTCTCGGTTGCGTATTTCGGCGGTCACTGTTCATCTTAGCGCCGATCAACCGCTTCGAGCAAGTAGCTCTTCAGTCCGGACTTTGAATAGTATCTCCCTAGATCAGGTATTAATATGTCCTTTGATATACTCAGATCCCATGTAAAATGCTCGAAAGTCGTGGAGTTCCGGTTGTTGGCTTTAGCTTGATCGTCTGCGTTTCGAACATCCAGAGGGATGTCATAGTAGATCAAGGCTCGTAACTTCCCTGGTACCCAGGTAGTGTACCGAACGTTTGCGGGTCGATAATCTTGCAGGTCAAAACGCCAAAAGAGTACGCACATGCATCGAAATCCCTATGAGTAGGGTCACTTGTAGCACACAGAAAGACCCACTCTTCGTCAAGTGTCGCCCGTAGATTACGTGCTGTTCCTCCTTCTGAACAATGCTCGAGCTGCTGCATCCCCAAAAAGAGCGCGTCATTCCCGAGTCATCGCAAACCAAAGTGACCACAAGCATGCGCATCCGCGTGCTTATACAAAGCATCTGAAGGCCAGCAGTCTCTGTTGTGCTGCGCAACTGCTCTTTCAAGAAGTTGATAGCGGCATTCCGTCTGACTCTGTAGCGGTTGCAACTTCGAATGCGCTCTCGATATGTTTTCGCAGCATAGGATAGGAAGGTGTATCTGTCGCGCACTAGGAGGCAGCTCTGAGGAATTTCTGGCGGACGTTCACGTCATCGCGACGCGTCTCGGTAGTACGAGTCATGCTAGCGTGACGCGTACATTATCCCCGGCGTCAGCCGAACAACCTCAGTTTCTAACATCGTTCTTTCCAAGTCTACGCACATCAAGTTGCATCGGTACAACAGGCTGAGTGACCCCAAAATCTAGCGCATCATTCTGATTCAATCACGTTATGCGAACGTTTCGTGCAATGTCATACTCGAAAATGCTTTCCAAGGTTTCGTCTCACATCACCACCTATCCTGCTTTCAAGCACGTCGTGTCAGAAGAATGGCTTTCTCTTTCTCCAGATCAGCTCTCAAACAGTCAGTTCTTTGTTCTATAACGAGACACATTGTATCGCCCAAATGCGCGGTGGTCACCTCGAGGCGGCTCTTCGAGTGTCTTATCCTGTTCACGTTCGGCAGTGAGACAATTGAAGACAATAGCGACAGTCTTTGGGGCGGAAGTAGCAATAAGTAGCATTAGAAGCTATTTAAGCTGGGTATAGGCGGGGTGAGTAGGTATTGTTGTCGAGGTGAAGACCGTTTCTACTGCCAAGACTCGTCCGTTTGCCCTTCACCTAGGCAACGTCGTCAACTCAAAATCTCTTCGCACAAATCCTTTTCCTCTTCTCCAACAGCTTCGTCACTATCCAAAACAGCTACATACCCAGAAACCTACCACACCCACCCTACAAACAAACCCGCTCCCACCACTACCAAGATGGAAGGATACCTCCCTCAAACGTACTACGAGCCGAATGGTCTCCTCACCTTCGCCCTCGATATGGGCGCAGTCATGCTCGTTTTGCTTGCTGGCTTCATAGCGGCAGCATACGGCATGACCTCCAAGTCAAGCCCAGGTAAGTTTCATCACTCATTGGTCTTGGAGTGAATGATTTGACATGACATAGCACCAGAGATCAGCATGAGCAAGACCGAGATCCGGGATCTCGTGAGCAAGGCTGTACGCGACGAGGTCAAGATGCTCGAGAGGCGCATGGCGGTGCATGAGAGCCAGCTGGGAGAGGCCCTCGACATAGCCCACCAGCACGAAGCCCGCATTGCGGCGCTGGAAGACCGGGTCGACAGAGGTGCGAGGGAGATGGACGCCCTTCGTGCCTCACTAAACAGTCCCAAATCACCCCCCTCCTCACCCTCATCCTCATCCTCCTCTCCCTCTCCCACCCCCTCCCCCGCTACTTGCGACACCTTCCCGGCCACACAGTCGACCCCGTCTCCGCCGTCCGAGCATAGCTCAAGGGCCCCCAGTGACCACCAAGAAAACTCAGATGACGACAGCATCTCCGGCGCAGAAGACTACAAGTCTCCGCCGCGAGTCTCATCATCACCAGATCAGGCGCCTGAGGTATCCAGCCCTCAGCTTGATCCGGCGCTGGAAGATGAACTCGCTGAGTTAGGTGGTTGGGGTCTGGACACAGAGGCATCCGAGGACGTCAGTGATGGTAACATCACTGACCAGGACGCTGAAGGCGAGACAGACGATGAGTACGAGGCACCAGCACCGCCTATCCCGAGCGCTGGCAGTGAGACTTTGGCTGGACGAAGGCCAATCATACCACTGTCGAAGTGCAGGACAAAGGGTGCCAGCACCCCGCGTCTGGGATAGGTGGGAAGGTCTTCCGGTATGTTCTTGCAACCGAACCCAACTTCTCCATTATGCTAATTCATTTTGATAGGCGACAAGACGCACGTTCGACACTCCGGGATGAAGTGACGCTGCCACAGATGCAGCGTCATAGTCCCGTCCGTTTACTTCCCGCGCATCAAGAAGCGCCTACAAACGTCGACCCAAAGAACGTCCAGTCCGGTATCAGCATCAATCTGCCGAGCCAAATCGAACAATCTCCGCCTTCTCTCCTCGTCATTCTCCAACCACGCCTCACTGCCAACCTCGCGAACGCCTCCCTCATCCACCATCAATCCTCTCCTCCCTCCATCAACACCAACAAACTCTGCACAAGGGGGCGTTCCCCTGGTCACAAAATCGAGAATGGTATCGCGCCACCTGGCAACCACATGTCCATAATGCGAGGGCAAACGGTCTTCATGCACGCCGCCAAGCAGCGTCGCAATGTCGAAAGTATGCGTAGCGAAAGCACCTTGCTCGCGGATTGGTCCCGGGAAAGGGTTTGGAAGATCGAAGACTTGGAAATAGGTTTCTTTGACCAGATCACTTTCCGCAATGCTCAATGCGGCCGCAAAGAAACCTATGTCGCTCTCAAAAAGGCAGATACGTTGGAGTGCGTCCCCATCATCAAGACCTTCCTCGATACCGTATATCTTCAGCAATTCGGCACCTTGTTCGGGAGACAGAACATCTTTGGCAATCTGTTCGAAGGCTTGAGCGTGGTTCTTGCGACTGTCATCGTTCCTCATCATATTGTAGGAGATGCCGCCGTCGTAGGTGGTGGAGCCAACGATTTGAGCTTCGACAGGCCTCGCCCAGTCTTTCCAATCGGGAGGAGCCACTTTTCCCTTCCTAGCGAGATCCATGGTCGGTCGTTCAAAGGGGAAGAACTCGCTGTTCGTGCATGGCAATCCAACCCAGGCCAAGTCTCGAATCTTCGACGCGTCAACGCCAATCACGTCTTTGGCTATTGCTTCTGTGTCCCTCTCGCTGCCATCGCCTTCTCTTATACGAATCCCCAACTTCTCAGCATGCTTGAGGAAGTTGTCATGATGCTCGTCATGCGTCATTGCAGGCATGGTAACTGGCGTCCCCGAGAACATGATCGCGCGCTTGAACAACGGTTTACGCATTGTCTGCACCGAGATGCTCTCGCTACCTGCACTCTGCCCGATGACGGTAACGTTATCCACGTCGCCGCCAAAACCCTCAATATTCTCGCGCAGCCATTCGAACGCAGTGTTTTGGTCGTAGAGACCATTGTTCTCCGGTACCATATCTCCAGCACGATCCGAATGCCAGAAGCCTAGCGCACCGAGCCGGTAGTTGATCCCTACGAAGACAATTGGCGATTCACGCTCAATAGCATGGCGCACAAGATTTTCGGGGTTGTAGTATGGTCGGTTCGCCGAACCAAGGAAGTACGCGCCACCATGGATGAAGACAATGACCGGCAACTTCATATCCGAACGTATCCTTCCGCCTTCATCGACACATGAATTCGGTAGATGTATAGAAAGGTTCAAGCAATCTTCCGACTGTTCTTCGTCATCCGGCAGATTATCGGTTGGCAGTGGGATGTTGGCTGCATCAGACTTGACGCCTCCCCACGGCTGGATACTGGATGCTCCTGGCCTTGTCGCATCGAAAACTCCATCGTGGAACCTTTTGCTCTCTCCATCAGAAAGCTTGTGCGAGAGCTGTGCGCGCGCAAATCTCTGGGCAACTTTCCCGTACGGAAGACCTAATATCTTTACGATCGAGCCGCTTGGTTCACGGAGACATCTTATCGCACCGAGCTTCGCGTGGTTGAGGACGATGTTATTCATCGTGTTCGTGCTGTTGTGGGTATCCCGTGGAGGAGATACCTCCAGAGTACGATGCGTACATGGCATGCAAGAGTGGTGACGTCAGGAGATGGTCTCACTAGGCCTACCGCGCAAGTACGACGTACCTAGGTAGTCAGCCCTTCTTCTGCGAGACACTTCAACATCTCAAGAAGGTCACATGTCATACTCGACGTGAAAGTGGCTTGATGCGGAGATAGACATTTCACCTAACCTGGTCGCTCCTCCCTCAAAGCGGTTAGCGACTCGGCCTCGATGCCGGAGTTCGAAGATACGTGCACGGCAGGCATCCTATATCCACACGACACCAACCGGATATGGACAATCCACGAATTCTGCGGAACCTCAATGGGGCTGAAGCGAATAGCTTGAGCATGTAGCAAATTACTGTTCCCGCGCAAGCGATACCAGAAACCAGTATGGCGGGACCACGCTACCGCTCCCATGGTTCCTCCTCTCGACTGCCCGGTCCGCGAACATGAAGAATATCTAATCACGACCCTCTTTTCATGACTTGCAAACGGCCTTGACTGCAGGTTCTTATCTTTCATGCCGTATGAGGCTGTACTATCTTTCGCGCCTTCTTCTTCCGGTTAGTGGTGCCGCTCGCTTCTGCTTTCACCAAGTCAAAGCTTGAGCGCATATCAAAAAGCTTGTCGTCCCACCGACAGCTTGGTCAAGCACAATCAACAGGTCTTCTGCACTTGACCGGACCGGATAACGGTCTACAGAAGCAAGATGCTGAAGAATATCCTTCTCGCTTCACTCGCGTTGAGCGTGTCGGCCGTTCCCACATTCCGGCAGTATGTCGAACGCGACTACAATACCAATCTCAACGTCAAGCTCTCTATCGAGAATGGTCTCCTGGATACTCCCACCGATGGCCGCATTGTGTTGATGTTTGCTCCCGAAGGCGAAGATCCCCTCGACGATACAGATGTCACTTCTTCCCCCAATAAGATTTTCGGAAAGAACGTATACAACTTCGGTCCTAAACAAGCGGTATCCTTCTCTGGTGGAAGCAACGACAGTACCGCTACCGGCGTGTATGGCTGGCCAAATGTCAGTCTGAGCGACATCGACCCAGGCACCTACAGTGTGCAGGCCTTCCTCACCCGCTATGAGACCGTCACTAGAAGCGATGGCTCGAAGGTCAGCGTCAGATTCCCATGTGGCGATGGCGCGCCAAATGTAAACGGCTATGGAAGCTTGATTACATCGGCTCAAGACGTTGAGATCTCCGAAGGCGGCCAGACTATCGAATTGACTTTCAACAACATTACAGCTGTCGAAAACTTCGCCGGCAAGGAAATTGGCGGATGCAACCAGGGCAACTACGAAGACACAGATACGCTCAAACACATCAAGATTCGCAGTAAGAAGTTGAGCAAGTTCTGGGGCCGCGACATGTATGTTGGTGCCAACGTCGTACTGCCTTCTGGCTACGATGCAGCCGACAAGAAAACACAATACCCTGTCATCTATAACCAAGGTCACTGGCCGGCCGGCGAAGGTGCATACAACTATGGCACCGACGAGAAGTTCACAGCAGCTTGGGACGCGGGTATCATACCCGGAACCAACACGACCGCAGCGCGCCCGGCACCCAAGTTCATCATGGTGACTTTCCGCCATGAAGCTCCATACTACGATGACTCGTATGCCGTCAACACTGCCAACCTTGGTCCTTACGGTGATGCTATCAACGAAGAGCTGATCCCCCATATCGAAGACACTTTCAACACCATCCGCGCACCGTATGCTCGTGTCCAGGATGGAGGCTCGACTGGTGGTTGGGAGTCGATCGCCAACGTCATCTACCGCCCGGATCTCTTCGGCGTGTGCTTCTCTTCCTACCCCGACTCTCTGGACTTCCACCGCCACCAAGATATCGAACTGTACAGCGCTGCTAATGCATACCAACGTGCAGATGGTAGCTCTGTCCCCAGTATCCGCACTCACACCGACGGCAAGGAGGTGATCCTCGCTACCGCCGCGCAGGAAAACCACTGGGAACTTGCCTTCGGCACATCATCACGCTCATTTAACCAGTGGGATGTCTGGAACGCCGTCTTCGGTGTCCAGGGCTACAACAACTATCCTCTCGAGCCATGGGACAAAGTCACTGGCGAAATTTACCCCGAGGCAGTTGAATACTGGAAGCCGTTCGACCTCAGCGACTACGTCGTCACCAACTTCAACTCTTCCCGCAACCTTGGTGCTGCCTTGGCTGGACGTATCTTTGTCTACGTAGGCACTTGGGACAACTACTTCCTCAACGAAGGTGTCATGGAGTTCCAGAAGCGCACCGATGCCGTTGGCGGAGCCGGCTGGGCCAATGTCACGATCCTGCCCGAGAAGCCCCATGGTGGTAACTACCAAGCACGCGAGATCTGGGATTACCTTGAGTTGGTTGAGCGCTGGGTCTCAGACCACGCCCCTGATGGCTCTACTCCACTTTCCCCTTCGGCTACCGCACCCTCTACCCGTGGAAATGTATGGGAGGATGTCATCAAATACGGTGGTCGCAAAGCAGCCGTCAAGCGTCAAGCAGACCCGAAGATCGAAGATAAGAAGGCTAAGGTGGGCCAGGAGGTCACTGCGAGTGTTGGTCGTTGGGACCCGGGTGTTAAGCTTACCGCGCAGTGGATCTTAAACAGCAAGCCCGCATGCGAAGCTTTTAGTGTAAAACAAGGTGCGAGCGTGAAGTATATTCCAACAGCAAAGGGTCATATTCAGCTACATGTCACAGGAGAGAAGCGAAACTACGCGACCGAGACGCGAAAGAGTGAGCGAGTACTCGTGGGAAGGTAATGGGATACCAGGAAATAGACATAGATCAATCAGCGTTGAAACACCGTTACACCGCATTGCAACCATGAGCATTCGCGGCTAACCTTTTGCACATAAGCACTTGTGGGGTTATACCGAAGTTTCGCGCATACATCTAAGCCGATGCTGGTGTTCCTGCATTCGAGAAACCACATGTCCAGGATCCGGCGTGTCCCCATTTAGCACGGCGCCACTTCCGCATAGGCTAGCTCGGAGATTTACAGCTCCACTTACCTCACCGAGGCAGTATTAATGAAAGTCTCTAATCGATCGTCGCATTCACAAAGATAGAAACCCAGCATCTGAATCTCAAGAGAAAGCACGAGACAGAAGACACGCAAGCTAGAAGCCCAGTAGCCCAACTCTACAATCTGACCGCCTACACAAAGTTCACAACTACAAGTCCTAGCCCAAGAATCCACACCGTCTCCCTTCTCCACGTCGCGACCTAGACACGCGCCGATGGCTCGGCCTTTATCGCCGTTACCGAAAGAATTACGACCGTTGCATCTGAGCACTGACAACTAGGAACTTTAAAGTGCTCACCCAGCGTCAGCAGTAGCGGTATTTGTATGAGCGCAGCCCTGGAGTTATCCAGATGCTAGGACCATGCTAGGCGCACGAGGACGAGGCGGTGGGTAAATGCGCCGACCAACAGACCGCTCTTGACGTCGTCTTACGGAGGGAGATGGGCATATAAGATGGTCTTGTCATCGCTTTCTGGGCTTTACCATCATCATCGCCATCGCTTCCAACACAACACAACACAACAACTCCCATACCCAACCAACCAACCAACCACAACAATGCACTTCAGCACCGCCCTCTTCGCCCTGGCCACCGCCGCCACCGCCGCAAACGCCAAAGTCTACGGCAAATGGAACGTCACCATCACGCAGTACGCGCTCGACTCTGGCTTCAAGTCGCAGAGGCTGCTCGCGGACTTTGTGTCTGACGAGTACTCTGGCAAGAACGTCATTCACACCATCTGCGACTACGAGTACGACCCGAGCAGGAACCCCAAGGAGAGCAAGACCTGCAACCCTCCTACTTTTGACTACGAGTATGATGGTGAGAGTAAGTTTATCCTTCCGGTTGTGACATCCTGATCCCAGGGTGTTGTGTTTGTAGAGTGGAATGCTAATATGTGGAATAGCTGTCAAGGTCCAGCAGAGCATCGAGAAGCCTAATAAGATGACTGTCTTTGGTGATGCTCCTCTCACTCTCAAGAAGGATCCAAAGGTTGAGGGTGTCTACTCGAACGGCGTCTTCATTGACGCTGACCATGCCACCGCGTAAGCACCTTAATCATCGACACACTATAGATCTTAGACAAGAAGAGGAGGAAAGGCCTGTACATATGACATAACGAAACAAGAAGGATAATGTAACAAACTTTGATTGAAACTACATTGCTACTCGCTAAGAGAGCGCCTACGCTATTCCCGTGATCATGTACACCCAACACTCCCAATAACCCATAGAATAACGCCGCCTCCCATGAAGAATGTAATGGATGTCATGGTCTGAGGAATGAAAACGCCCGTGCGCCCTGGAAGTCGAACAAGAGATGCTGAATCGAAACAAGATATGGGAAGCTACTATGCTTCGCCGAAGAGTCGAGCAGTGATGTCTCCCATATAAGCTTCTTCCAGCTCGTAGTCTTCGCCGCCCATGCGATCGATACCAACATACTCGAACGAGGCGACCACAGCGTCGACATCGAAGCCCATAGCGACAAAGCGGTCTACTAAGTCCTTGTTGTAGCCTTTGTACGCAGCCAGCTTGGACTGCTCTTCGTTTTGCTTCGCCTGCTGGGCCTTCTTCTTGATCGACGCCGCTGTGGCTCCCCCGCTTCCTTCAGCAATCTCCTTCCGTGGCGCACCTGCGAATGTGACGGCCCATTCGCGTGCCTTGTGTTCGAATTCGGCGGGGTTCCGTAGCAGCATGCCGGCGACTTCTGCGTCTTGTGGATCCTTTGGCTCGGGTGTGCTGAGCAGCGATTGTAGCGAGATCAGAGCGGACTTAATGGTCAGAACTGGCGACCATTGTGAGGAGAGGGTGTCGAGACAGATGGCGCCCTACTACTATTAGCTTTCTGAAGCACATTCGAAGATGTTGTCTGTCACTTACCGTTTGTGAGCTGACATTGGGGTGCCAGATCTTGGTCTCGAACTTCATGAGCGGTGGGCGGAAGGGGTATTCGCTCGGGATCCGGATGTCGACCTTGTAGGTAGCTCCCTCATATGGTGTGTCAGGAGGACCGTAGAACTGCCCCCGTAGATGTGTGAGATCTTCGCCATTGCCTGCCGGCTCGACGACGATCTTGGAGTGCTGATCGTTGTGGATATCGGCAATCTCCTTGGCAATGCGCCTGTTGCGGTTGGAAGTCATGGTGATGGGATATGGTGGAAGTTTCGGGGTGAAAAGGGCGATGAAGAGGAAGTGTGACGAGTAGGCAGCAGGTAGGCGCGACCAAGGTATTTCTAGGTAGAGAAGTCAGCCTCAGGCTCCGCGAAGTGGTCCCGGCTCCACCAAGTTGCAGTGCGGGGACTGTGTCATACAGGTCTTGGAGTGTCTGAGAGGGGGCTGTGGCGTGGTGATTCACCTGAAAAGCGATTCGAACGTACTGGACCTACTCTGAGACCTTGTCTGGTAGCGATGGAGAGTACCTCTTGACCCGCGTGGGGAGCTTTGAGCTGGCTCGCCGGCGGGGTCGAAGCTCGGAGGGAATACTACAACGGGGGGTTCGGGAATCTGGTGGGTGAAGAAGAAGTGTTAGTGAAATGGAGCGCACAGCGAGAAATGTGCAGCTATCGGACGGGGCCTGACGTGTCTGTTGCTCTATGGAGGTGGAATGGTGAGGCTTCCAGCGGCTCGAGGCAGTGACGCCACGAGGCGCTAACCCCGATCCTCCGACATCCACGAGCTTCGGAATCAGCGCATCAACACCTCTTGCAAACAACCACCGCCTCACCACCGCCATCGCCCGTTACCACCACCCTCGCTGTGGTTCTTTCTCTTCTAGTCGCTACATACTGTCGAGCGCCTGATTCGCCTTTCATCACCTGATCGCGTGTCATGGTAAGATCGCCTCCCTCGGAAACCATCATGGCCACATGCTAACGACGTGCAGGGTAACCAGCAATCGAGTGCTGGAGGCGGCGGGCCTCCAGGAGATGACAAGAACAAGAAGGACAAGGTATGTGCTGCCCCACGACACGTGGTGATGGCTCTCGGGAGTCCGCTATCTGTTGCCTCACCGCACTAACACGCCCTCTGCAGAAGGAGAAGCCAAAGTACGAGCCGCCGCCACAACCCACAACCCGCATCGGCAGGAAGAAGAAGAAGGCCGCCGGGCCCAGCGCCGCCGCCAAGCTCCCGACCGTCTACCCGACCGCACGATGCAAGCTACGCTACCTCCGAATGCAGCGCATCCACGACCATCTCCTGCTCGAGGAGGAGTACGTCGAGAACCAGGAGCGTCTGCGCAAGGCCAAGGCAGTGAAGGAAGGAAACGCGCCCGCAGCCAATGCAGGGGATGCCGAAGACCGGAACGCCGATGAGCGCTCACGCGTCGACGACATGCGCGGCAGTCCCATGGGCGTCGGCAACCTCGAGGAGCTCATCGACGACGACCACGCCATCGTTTCCAGCGCCACCGGGCCCGAGTACTACGTCTCCATCATGTCTTTCGTCGACAAGGATCTGCTAGAGCCTGGAGCGAGCATCCTGCTGCATCACAAGTCAGTTTCAGTCGTCGGTGTGCTCACAGACGATGCCGATCCGTTAGTATCGGTCATGAAGCTGGACAAGGCGCCCACTGAGTCGTATGCGGATATTGGTGGTCTAGAGCAACAGATCCAGGAAGTGCGGGAGGCGGTCGAGCTGCCCCTGTTACATCCGGAACTTTACGAGGAGATGGGTATCAAGCCCCCGAAAGGTGTCATTCTCTACGGTGCACCAGGTACCGGAAAGACACTTCTGGCCAAGGCTGTGGCCAACCAGACCAGCGCGACTTTCCTGCGTATCGTAGGTAGTGAGCTGATCCAGAAGTACCTCGGAGACGGTCCCAGGCTCGTACGACAGCTCTTCCAGACCGCCGCCGAGAACGCGCCCTCCATCGTCTTCATTGATGAAATCGATGCTATCGGTACTAAGCGTTACGAGTCCACATCCGGTGGTGAGCGTGAGATTCAGCGAACCATGTTGGAGCTGCTCAACCAGCTGGACGGATTTGACGACCGTGGAGATGTCAAGGTCATTATGGCCACCAACAAGATCGAGACACTCGACCCTGCCCTTATCCGTCCTGGTCGTATTGACCGAAAGATTCTCTTCGAGAACCCCGATCGTAAGTTTATTCCACACTGCCTGCAATGCATATGCTAACCATAATGCAGAAACTACCAAGAAGAAGATCTTCACCCTCCACACCTCCAAGATGTCGCTCAACGAGGATGTCGATCTCGACGAGTTCATCAACCAGAAGGATGACCTCTCCGGTGCCGACATCAAGGCTATCTGCTCCGAAGCTGGTCTCATGGCGCTCCGTGAGCGCCGTATGCGCGTCAACATGGAGGACTTCCGCACCGCAAGGGAACGTGTCCTTAAGACGAAGACAGAGGGTGAGCCAGAGGGCCTGTACTTGTAAGCGTAAGAAGCATAAGGGAGGGACATTATCTTCAACACCCAAAAGCAATGTGCAAGTGTATTAGTACAAGTTGCACATAGGAAACATCTCGTCACTACAGGCTTAATACTCGAACAACATATAGACCCTTCTAATTTTCGTGATGTATTCGGGCGCGTAGCCATATTGAGTTCTTTTGGTCGAAATGTCACGGGCTGACAATAGCAGCGATGCATGAAAGAGGGCTGCTTCCACCACGCAAGAGGAAGTCACCTTCTTATCCATGATCGAAATTCTTGGGACTACTCAGTGGGTGGTGGCTTCCTGCTAGATGTTCTGTCCAAGTCGT